AACAACAAACAAACAAACAAAACAAGATTAAACGACAACAACCACCTCAGGTTAAATAGGGTGAGCTTCTTTTTTATACTGCAGCTACAGAACAAGCAGGTCAACAATTTCTACAGTTTTACCATGAAATGTCTTTCTTTTTTAACGAAGAGCCCTAAATTAATCATGCAACGGACACTTTTAGTCAACCCTACCAAGATATATTAAGTACTAAGCTCTCTGTTACAGGGTGTGCTTTGGTTTCCCACAGCTCATTTTGTTGTAACTAGCTGCCTTTTTGGTAGGATATGAAATTAAGCTTTGTCGCACTTGGGTTTTGACCTCCGCGAACATTTTTGCAAAGAGATCAGATTTTTCCCTAGAGTTTACAGTGCAATTACCACAGTTCTAAGGATATTACTGACACATATTGTTTATAACTAAGAAAAGCAAGAACGACTGTACTCTAACTCTAGCCCCGTCAACAAGAAGCTATTTCCAGGTTGCAGAGAGGAAGACGAGTTTACTTATAGTTTGAACAAACATGTCTGAGAAAATCTGGGCTTTATAAACAGAGAAACGTATGAACGCGGGGACAAATATGTGTTTTTTTTTTCTTTTTCTCAAGCATCTGAGCTGGCCGGAATACTAAATCCTCGATTTTTATTGGCTAATCATATACACGTAACTGGTTCAGCTTTTTACGATACGGCCCACGAGCCGGATTTTCTCCCCTGCTGCCTAAAATTCGCTCCTAAAAGTTAGCAGAAATCGTCATATCTTTTGCCTTTTTTACACATCCATGGACGATTAGTCAACGTTAGTTTATCTCTGTTCACTTTGAAATGGCAAGGAAAGTCACTGTAAGTAAATTCAATTGAGTGTTTTGAAGTTGTGAGAGTTTGCTTTGTTGTTTGTAGCTTGGCGCTGTAATGGCGCGTAATCCTGTGTTTCTCTCGCCGTAGAATTTGAGTCAATTTCAGTCGAGTTTACCTCTCTGATCGTTGCTGTATTTATTGTTCGAAAAAAAATCTGTTCTTTAATACATCTTTCTTTGTCTACTATCTGAGTAACTCGCTCGTTGCTAAGAGTTT